AGAGAGAGAGAGAGAGAAAGCAAGAAAGCACTCCTCATGGGGAATGATCATGCTGCAATCTCTTCTCCTCCATTTCTCCTTCCCTTCAGGATTTTGGGTACACAGATGTGCACACAGAGTGTTTCTCAGGCCGCTGAGTCTGGTACTCAAACTGCATGGCCATGTGGGATCCAGCTGTTTTAATCACCATGCCAAGGATTGGCCCTAACTATTTTCTTATTACTGTACATTTAGGATTTTTACTTTTTACATGGCAAACAATGCTTGGGCATTTTTGGACATACATATTTATGCTAGTAGGAAATTATTTCCATAAAACAGATTATAGAAGTAAATTTCTTGGTCTGAAGGTATGAACATCATTAATTTTGATTTCTATTGTTAATTTAACCTCCAGGAAATAGAAGCCAGTTTATTCTCAAACCAGTACTATTTAAGAGTGCCCTTGGGACCAGCAGATGGCATAATGGTTATGTCACTGGGATTCCACATAGTCGACTGTGGTTTGAGTTCTGGGCCTGGCTACTTAAACTCACACCAGGCGCATGTGCGTGAATGTCCAGGATCCTGAGAGGAGAGTGGAGGAGAAGGGATTGCGGCATGGCCATCTCTTCTGGGGAGTGATTTCTCGCTTTTTGTCTCTCTGTCTCTTTCTGTCTCTCTGGCACGTGCAATATAACACAAATCTCTCTTAAAAATAAAAACAACAGAGTGCCCTTTCGTCTACTTACAAATCAACCTTTGCTATTCATACTATTTTCTTTTTAAATTTTGTTACTCTAAGGAGCAAACTTTTTATATTATTTTTATTTTCATTTTCTTCATTGACTTTATGTTTTGTAGCTCTTTTAGAAAAAAAAATTCAATAAAATGTTTTATGAAGAAAGTAGACATAACAAAAACACTTGAATGCAATGTCATTGATGGAAAGTAGTAGGTACATAGAAGAAAATGAGTAGAGATGAGGAAGAGTAGGGCCAGCCCTGTAGCACAGTGGGTAAGTGCCATGCATAGAGACGTGGAACCCACATGGCTCCAGTAGGTTGAAAAACATGCCCGGTTCATGTTCATACATGCCCAGAATCCTAGAGGGATGGAGGAGTGGAGGAGAGAGGATTTCAGCATGACCATGCCCAATAGGAAGGTACCTGCTTTCTCTTTGATTTCATTTTAACATTTTTTTTGATGTTTTTGCTATAGGGCGCATACACTCGCCAGACCAATAGAGAGAGACAGAGAGACAGAAAGCGAGAAATCCCCCCCCCCCCAGGGGGGCTGGCCACGCCGCAATCCCTTCTCCTCCATTTTCCTCTTGGGATCTTGGGCATGCACACACACGCGCCCGGCATGAGTTTTAAGCCACTGGGTCCGGGACACGAACCGCGGTCGACTACGTGGGAGTCCAGCGACATAGCCATTATGGTAACTGCTGGTCCCTCATTTTAACTTTTTTAAATGATTTGCTTTAAAATGAATTATTCAGATCACATTAATTTAATATATGATTTTTAAAAACAAACAATACTTCTAGTATTTAGTGATCAATAATTTTCTATTTTAAAATTTAAGTTTTACTTTAATTTGGAGTACATCTAGTTTATGACTTAAGTGAGTAATGTTCATTGTAAAGGAAAACCAAGGTAAGAAACTGGGATTTGTTGTTGTTAATGTGTATAATCTTTTCTGAAAATGAACATTAAAGTTATAAATAACAGATACAAAGGTAGGTTATTGTAACTTTGTTTACTAAGCCATCAAAATAAAGGAGTATGAGAAGACTCCTAGCTACTTTTTTACATTAAACTTTTCATGTAGATAACTTTGCAAATTTTTCATAATTCTTCAGATTCCTAAAAGTAATTCATTAAGCTGTTCATTTTATTTTTTCATCCCCAGTGTATCTTCGCTCTAAAACATGTACTGGGGGGATTAGATAATAACATATATCAAGTATTTACTATTAACCAGCATTGCTGTAAGTTCGTTATCTGTGCTGACATTGTTAATTGGTGTAGCAGCCTTATAAGATAGTACCATTGTTATTGTGCCCATTTGCAGATGAGAATGTGAATTACAGAAAATGAATGAATGAAGCAAATTTCCCAGCCTTACTCTTAAGCCTGTCATTCAGTCAGATGGACTTCTGGCAGTCTAATTCTTAACGTTTACTTGAGAAGCTGTTCTGTCTTGAGTAGATCTGTATTGCTTCTGTTGAGATAATGGAAGTGAATCTTAAATAAACAAACTATAAATGACTTCAGCTAACAAACATTTAAATTACGTGTGACCTGTTTGTACCAGCAAACAGAGAAGAATTTTCATTACTGCTTGCATTGGTTAGAAGTCAGCACTTATAAAGGCAATTCTAGATTGAGCTGTCATTTAAAAGTCATTGCTCTTAGATTCCAGGGGCTGGTAAACCTTTTCTATAAAAGCCTTGATAGTAGATATCAGACACATTCAATCATTTCTCATATTCTTTTTTTTTTTTTTTACAGCTGTTTAAAAAATGGAAAAATGTCTATTTTTATGTCTCAGGCAGTACCAAAAGAAGTTAGTGACCCAGGTTGACCTATGTGCCATATATTGCCTGTCCTTGGCATAGACTCATTGGGGTGTATGGATTTAAATTCTCCCTTCTGTCTGAGCAATCATCTCTTTGTATATGTCTTTTTTTTTTTTTTTTAGAAGTTTTTGCTATAGGGTGCGTGTGCTCGCCAGACAGAGAGACAGACGGAGTCATATAAAACGAGAAATCATGCCCCAGGGGGGATGGCCATGCCACAATCCCTTCTCCCCCAGGGGGGATGGCCATGCCACAATCCCTTCTCCTCCATTCTTCTCTTGGGATCTTGGGCATGCATGCACATGTGCCCGGCATGTTTTAAGCCACTGGGTCCGGGAAGCAAACTGCGGTCGACTACATGGGAGTCCAGCAACATAGCCATTACACTAATTGCTGGTCCCTCCTTGTATATGTCTTAACATAGTTTTATTGTTTTGAGTTTTTTTGTTTGTTTGTTTTGGATTTTTAATTTGCCAGAGAGAGTACGTTCTCCAGAGAAACAGAGAAGAAAAGCATAAAAGCACTCTGCATAGGGCATGGTAACATTGCAATCCTTTCTCTTCCATTTCTCCCACCTTATGGAAATTTGAACACACACACACATGCACCCAGTGTGTTTTCAAGCCTCTGGGTCTAGAACTGGAACCACACAGTGACCCTCTGGGATCTAGCTGCCTCAATTACAGGGCCACAGGTTGGCCCAACACATTTTAACTTTAAGAAACATTCTGCAGATCTCTACCTACCTCTTGCTGAAAAATTTGACACCTTTGTTAGAGTATTCCAGAGGAACAGAACCAGTGGAACGTACATGTTGATTAAAGAGGGGATTTATTACAGGCATTGTCTTGTGTTGTTATGGAGGCCAAGAAGTCCTCCTGCTTTTGATCTACTCTCTGCAGGCTGGAGGCCCAGGAAAGCTGGTGACATAGTTCACCCTGAATCTGAAGGTCTGAGCGCCAAAGGAGCCAAGTTGTAACTCTTAGTCCAAGGCAAGAGGCCTGAGAACGGGGGGACTGACTCCCCTTGGTCTATGTTCTAGACTTTGAACACCTGAGAACTAGGAGTTCTAATGCCTAGGGTAGGGATAAATGAACATCTGAGTGTAAACAGTGATTGAAAATTGCACTTCCTCCAACTTTTAATTTTATTCTGACCCTCAGTAGGTTGGGCAGTTCCCATCTACACTGGTGACGGTGGATCTTTACTCAGTCCACTGATTCATCTCTTCCAGAAATTCCCTGAAAGGCACACCAAGAACTGATGTCTTACCAATTATCTGGGCATCCCTTACCTAGTAAAGTTGACACAGAATTAACCATCAAATGCCTTTCTAAACATTATGATGTCAGGAAATGGTGAACTCTTGGTCTTTAGGTGGCGAAAGTATAGAATAAGGTGTACAGAACTTTCAATATCCTCAAATCAAATATTCTGGAATCCTCTCCAAAGTTACTTAAACCAACACTTAAAACCCTGATCCCAAGAATTTCTGTAACAGATGGATATAGTTTCAAATGCATTCAGAGAACTTCTGTTCTACAGAACTTTTCTTACCGATACCTTGTTCTCTTTGAGTTTATGGATATATGCATATATAAATTTGTCTTTTTCATTGATTGATCTGAGTGTCTTTGCCATCACTAAAACAATTGATCTTAAAAGCAGGCTTCTTGAGCAGTAAAGTAGAAAATTTGTTTTTGGTATTTATTTTTTTCCTTTATTTTTAATGATGGAAAGTGCATGTATGAGATAGAAAGAGAGAGAGAGGAAAAGAAAGGGGCCCTTGCTAGGATTCTGTCATACTTCAGTACCCTTTCCCTCCCCCCCTCCCCCCAGCTCCTCCTTCCACTCAGGATCCTGGATGCCTACACATCCACCTGGAGAGTTTTTCAGGCCAACCTGGGATCCCAACAACTGTAGCCACATGGCTTCTAACTCTGCAGAACACTAGCGTTACTGCTGCACCACACTGGCTGGATCTTGTAGTTTGAAATGATGTTTTAATGTGTGTTTCTGAGTGTTTCAGTTAGAAATAATTGTTTGGGGACTGGGAGAAGCACTTTTTATTCAGTGTCAATGATGATCTGAGTAAGAGAATTATGTGTATTAACCAGAAGCTTTGATAATGGAGCAGTTGGATAGAAATTTTTCTTTTTAAAAATATTATCCTGTTTTATATGTGAACATTTGTGTGGGCAGAGATTTTCTTACCTCTCTCCTAAAGTTTCTTAACAAAAACAAAATTGCCAAAAATTAAAAGTCAAAGAATTTCTTCTTAGACATAAAGTTTGCTAATTTACCATCAAGATGTAACTTACTCGATGGATCTTTCTTTATATATCTCTAGAGTATATAGTTTTCCTAAAGAATCTTCCTTCATTATGTACTTTAAATGTTAATCTGACATGATCGTGTTCTTTTTTCTTTATAGAAAGTATCTGTATGTCACATCTTCTTTTAAAGGAGCATTTAAAAATGAAGTTAAGAAGGCAGAAGAAGCAGTAAAAAGTGGTATGTGATTACTGATGGTCTACATCATTCTTGTTCGCTCACTCAGTAGACATTAATTGCACACTTTTTCTGAGACACACATTACTCTAGCCAGTTAATAAAATACAGTTCCTAGTTCAAAACTTCATAACACATGCTTTCCACTTCTATCTTTATTTTATTATGGTTTACTTGTTGTTATGATTCTGAGCACACTTGGAAATAGATGCATATATGTTAGAAATCCTGCTTGTCATAATGCTGTGTTATGTCATTTTAGAGATCAGCATCAACCTCACTTGAAGAAGGATTTGTGACATAGTCACTCCTCCTATGGTGGAGACAAAGCTATACTTTTCTGGTTATCTGGGACTGAGGAGTAGCTCTACTTCCATATATGTGTAGTTTTATATTGTTTTTATTGCCACAGGGCACATGCACTCACTAGCAAGTGAGAGAGACAGATAGAAAGAGGGAGAAATTATTACCACTCAGTAAGGCATGGTCACACCACAATCTGGTCTCCATCTCTCCATCCTGTCAAGGATTGGGGGCAGGCACATACACATGCCTTCCATGTTTTTTGAACTGCAGAGACTGGGTTCAAATGACAGTTGGCCATGTGGAATCTGGCTCCCTTAATCACTTTGCTATGGGTATGGCAATTCATGGCAATCCACTTCCATATTTCATGAACATCTTCAGTCAAGTTTCACTCCTGATTTTAGAACTTTCATGTGCATCTTTATGCCCTGTATATGGTCAGGCTGAGGAGGGAGAAAAATAGAAGACTTAAAGTGTTACACATGAAGCTATGAAATGAACATAAGGTTTTCTGAGACTATAATCTGTTTGCCATTCTTACAGGTCCTGGCTATATGTACAGAAAATGCTCACTAAAACTTATGCAAAATAACTTAATTGTCTTTTAACTATCTTGCTTCTGCTTCCAGCTGAACTTGTGTTGAAAGAAGTTCAATTCAAAGTAAACCAGCCTGACAGAAATTCTTTGTCTTCTGCCAAGGTATGACAGGAGAAGAGTAATCTTCTTAAATGACAATCATTTGCTTTTTGTTGGACATAGCTATAGCTTAACGTTTACTTCCTAAAAAAAAGAAATTTGTTTTTGGAGAAGTTTTTGCTATAAGGTGCATGTACTCGCCAGAAAGAGGCAGACAGAAAGCAAGAAATCACCCCCCAAATGGGGATGGCCATGCTGCAATCCCTTCTCCTCCATTCTCCTCTCGAGATCTTGGGCATGCACACACACGCGCCCGGCGTGAGTTCAAGCCACCGGGTCTGGGACTCCAACCTCGATCAACTACATAGGAGTCCAGTGACATAGCCATTACACCAATTGCTGGTTCCTACTTCCTAAAATTTTAAACACAAATAAACTTAGAAAATGAAGTGGATTTTAATACAGGTGAACAGAATAGATGTGAGCAGAGAAATGAGAGGAAAACCCAGCAAGTGAGAAGGAAAGGGGAGATTGACAGAAAAGATGACACAACAACATGGGAAGCATTTGGAACAGTGAGGCAGAGCATCACAACCAGTTTCTTTAAAATAGAAAAGAAAATGATATGAGAAAAGGAGAAAATGAAACGCTAGCAGGAAAAAAAACTAGCCTATCAAGTCTCCTTGAAAATATCTGTTCAAATTATAGCTCCCTGTGGACCTAAATAAATGGGAAAGCAAGGAGATGACTAATAAGCAATCTTTCTATCTAGTGCTAGGAATTGTATACCGTAATTATGAATATTAATAACAATGCTTCTAGCTTACAAAGCTCTTTTCTTCTGAGTCACTCCACACAGTTCATAAACATTCTTTATAATCCTTGCAATATGCCCATGAGTAAGAAAATTTATATATAACTATTATTATTATTTATAATACATCACAACTAAGAGAAAAAGAATATTGCTGCTGTGTTGTGAGTTTGCTAACTTTTACCAAAAATATAGTATAAATCTTTCTACTGTGTTCAGTCTAAGTCACGTATTTATTTGCTTATGTACAAAAGAGATATGGAGATAAAGCATGCTTCATTCCTTCCTTCATCCTCTTCTAGAGACTTAAATATGAGATGAATTCTTTTTAAAAACATTTTTTTTCCTATAGGACATTTTTTTTTTCCTATACACTCACTGGGGGGGTGGGGGGGTGGAGGTGTGAAAGAGAGAGAGAGAGAAAGTGAGAACGCACCCTCCAGGGAAGATGACTCTGTCACAGTCCCTTCTTCTCCATTCTCCTGTTGGGATTTTGGACAGACATGTACATGCACCCAGTATATCTCTCAAGTTGCTGGGTCCAGGACTTGAACTGTGTAGTTGGCCATATGGGATCCAGCTGCCTCAACCACCACACCACTAGCTGGCCTTGTAATGATTTATTTTTAGTGATTTGCCCTTACACTTTCTAGGAGTAGATATGTGTCTGATGAAAGAGCTCTTATGTCCAACAATAGAGAGTAAAGGATGAACCCAAAGAGTAACACGTGGTAATGCCCTGAATCAAAATCTGTTCATGACAGGACCAGCAGTTAACGTAATGGCTATGTCACTGGACTCCCACGTAGTCGACCGTGGTTCGCGTCCTGGACCCAGTGGCTTAAAACTCACGCTGGGCACGTGTGCATGTGTGCCCAAGATCCCGAGAGGAGAATGGAGGAGAAGGGATTGCGGCATGGCCATCACCCCTGGTGGGTGATTTCTCACTTTCTGTCTCTCTGTTTCTCTCTGTCTGGTGAGCGCACGCACCCTATAGCAAAAAATTCTCCCCCCCCCCCCCCAAAAAAAAAATCTATTCATGGTGTTTCCACAATTCTCTTACTTTTTTTGTTTTATTACTTTTTTAAATTAAAGGTAAAACTATCTTATTGATTTTTTTTTTGAGCTTTTTTAAAATTTTCTCTCTGTGAAATCACTTCCTTTGCTTTTCTGTGTTTGAGAGTATAAAACAAGCTCCTTCTGATGGATCAGGTTTAGTCTGTTCCTTCTTACTGCCTCTTTGCTCTGGGCCTTGGGTGCACTGACCGGAAGGGTAGAGAATGCATTGACAAGTTTTCTTCTTTGCTCTGGTGTATGCTGTTTTTTTTTAAAGTAGAGAAGAGAGCAAAGGAGAATGACTTGAGCTTTTCTTAAATTCTTACAGGTAGTTGAATTTGAAACAAAATACTTAACCATTTTCCATGTTCTTTCACTTGAAAGTCAATGAAAATAGTGTTTAATCAGTGGCATACCCATCAAAGAGATGCCTAGCTTTCACATTAGGTAGATGAAGCATATTAAAAGAGTGTTCTTACCTGGGTGCATAATAATAGTGAATTGTGTCTTTTCTTTCTGGCATATTAGAGATAAAGTAGTGAATGAGCCAGTATATCGAATTAAGAGCAGATAAGAAAGACAACTGGGCATTGAGATTGGTGTACTCTGAAAGGGTAGTAGCCCAGGAATGAGTTTTCCTACAAATGGAAAATTGGGGGAGTTACTAGTTAGAGGTATCTAAAACTTGATATGACAGAGACACTTTTTTCTTTTTTTCTTTTCCCTTCTCCTCTCAGGATTTTGGGCACACATGCACATGCACTGGTGTGATTTTCAGACCGCCAGGTTTGGGACTCGAACTGCATAGCCAGCCATGTGGGATCCAGCACCTTAATCTCCATTCCACCTACTGGCCCACTAATGATATTTTTTAATTACCTTTTAGTTTAGTTTAGTTTTTTTCTACGAGAAACTCTACTAATCACTTAATAGACTATTCCTGTTCTCACAGACAAAAACCAGAGTCTAGGCACCTTGAATAACTTGCTCAAGTTTTTACATAGTTTTGTGTTTTTAAAATATGTATTTACATTTAATCAATGTACTTTTTTCTTTTTCTTTCTTTCTTTCTTTCTTTCTTTCTTTCTTTTTTTTTTTTTTTTTAAGAGAGATTTCTGCTATTGGGCATGTGAGCTCACCAGAGAGACAGACAAAAAGTGAGAAATCATTTCCCAGGGGGATGTCTAAGCCACAATCCCTTCTCCTTTCAGGATTTTGGGCATGAACACACACATACCTGACACAAATTTTAAACTGCTGGGTCCAGGACTTGAACCACAGTCGATTACATGGGAGTTCAGTGACATAACCATTACATCATCGGGTGGTCCCAATCATTATACATCTTTACAGCATGCAAAATGGTTTTTCCAATCATGAATACAGTGTAAATTAGTCCAGTCAAAGGTATTATGAAGATATAAAAGCAGGAGAGGTCTCGTTTCCAGTGGACACAGACTCTTTCCTTGGAATGGTGGAGGCTGTGCAGTATTGCCATTACCCCGAGGAGAGAACAGTCAGTAGAGGGGTACAAAAACGCAGAACATTAAAACCTTTAATTTGGAGAAACAAAACTTTACTCCAAGGAAGCATCATCATCACCACCAGCAGCAACAGCAGCAGCCACCGCCACCACCGATACCTGCAAATGTGCAACAGGCCAGCAGCCAAGACGAAGACTTGACTGTTGACTTGAAGAATAGAAAATCAGGAGAGAAGACCTTCATGCAGCTTAGCTGTCTCTTCGTGGGCAATCTTCCTCCTGACATCACTGAAGAGGAAATGAGGAAACTATCTGAAAATATGGGAAGGCAGGTGAAGTCTTCATTCATAAGAACAAAAGCTTTGTCTCTATCTGCATGGAACATGAACCCTAGTGGAAATTGCCAAAGTAGAATTGGACAATATGCCATTCAATGGAAAGTAGCTTCATGTGCACTTTGCCTGCCATAGTGCATCCCTTACAGTCTGAAACCTTCCTCCATTTCCTCAGCCTGTGACTGTGGAGCCCATGGACCAGTTAAATGATGAAGAGGGACTTCCAGAGAAGCTGGTTAGAAAGAACCAGCAATTTCACAAGGAGTGAGAGCAGCCACTCAGATTTGCACAGCCTGGGGCCTTTGAGTATGAGTATGCCATGCACTGGAAGGCACTCACTGAGATGGAGAAGCTGCAGCAAGAACAAGTGGACCTCAACATCAAGGGGGCTCATGAGAAGATGAAATGGAGATGGAGGCTGCCTGTCATGAGCACCACGTCATACCAATGAGACAGGATTTGATGAGGCACTGAGAAGAACTTCAAATGATGGGAGAGGTGCACAACAAAGAGGTGCAAAAACAAAAGCAGCTGTAGCTCAGACAGGAGGCAGAGCACAGGTGTCCTGAGGAAGAGATGCAGCAGCAGCAGGAAGGAATGATGCGGCGACGGATTCAAGGGAACCTTCTCTGATCCGAGAGAGCAGGAGATATGGATGGGTCAGATAACTGTGGGAGGTACCATGGGCATAAACAACAGGCGCCATGCCCCCTGCTCCTGTGCCAGCTGGTACCCCAGCTCCTCCAGGACCTGCCACTATGATGCCAGATGGAACCTTGGAATTGATCCCATTGACAATTAAATGCTTTGGTCAAGCTGCTACAATGGAAGGAATTGGGGCAATTGTGGAATTCTTCCTGCATTCAACCATGCAGCTCCTGGAGCTGAATTTGCTCCAAACAAACATCGCCAATACTAATAAAGTTGCAGTGTCTAGACTTTCTAAACCCTTTAAAAAAAAAAAAAAAAAGACCCTTTTTGGACTAGCCAGAATTCTACCCTGGAAAAATGTTAGGATTCCTCCCAATAGTTAGGTCTTTCCTGCCTGTAATAGTCTAGAGAGTAATACTGGAGGCAGAGGGCAAGGGAGGGGGTGGTATTTAATAAGTCAGTTCTGTGTAGTATATTGTTTATTCAGTCTCTGTGTGGTGCATTCCTAAGTCTCAGATATGATTGTTGAGTGCCTGGGGGAACCAGGACAAAATGGATCCAGCTAAAGCCCCATTAATCTTGATCATTCTGGGGTATTTCTTTTTTCCAATATGTTGTATTTGCTTTCTCATCCATACTCCCTAGCCCCAGTAATACAGCCACATATACCACAAAATCCAAACATCCCCCAATGACCTTAGCCTCTTACTCCATTCGCTTTCAGGTGAGAATTCATGCAAATGTTCTCAGAGGTCACAGACAGCGTACATTCGGTTCTGTTCTCCTGTATACTACCCCTTCATGTCCTAAGGAAGACATTTTCTTTTAGACATTTTCATTTTTGTATGTCTTTTTAAAAAATCTTATGTTAACTTGCCTCTGTTTTTCCCCTGGGTAAGGACAACCCAGGAATGGCCCCTTTGTGTCTGAGATGTTGTTGTTCATAGCTTTTCTTGATAGGCTGAGTACAATCTTGTTGTAATATGAAGGTCTGACAGTAGCTCTGAGCCTTGCATATCTTAGGTAGTTACACTGTGCATTGTTTTTTTAAATTGGTGTACCATGTTTAATTTGTTCCAGTACCTTTCATTTGGATTTTTTTCCTGTGAAACGGAGCAGTAATGCAGCATCAAGTTATTAAAATACATGTTAAGCCTTTACAAAATAAAAAAGCAGGGGGGCACTTGTGTATACTAGAGACAGTATAGAAGGGGATGCATAGGGGAGAAGGGGCAGAAGGAATCAAGGGAAAAAAAACAATTAAACAGATACAAAAATGGAAAGTTATCTGTTAATGATAATGCATATGGTGATACAGTTTTCACATAGTTTGTGTCAAGCCATTGTGCCCATCAGTAGTAGTAAAGGTTCTTTCTGTGCAGGGCAAGGGACCTCTGAATATGAGTGAAAAGAGAGCAGTGGGCTAGGATTTGGTTTAGTTTGGAAACTTGTTTATCAGATCTTTACTGCATATCCAACATGCTAGGACTGCCTTAGCCAATGTGACCTGCTATTGTTACCCTGGAAACATTTGAGTAATAAGGTAATATCAACTCATCTTTCGTTAACTCAGTGGCATTTATATTCTCTCCCAACCAAACATTCTTCTCCAGGATGTATTACAGAAAGCTTTGGAAGATGTAGAAGAAAAGCATAGAAATCTTAAAGAGAAACGGAGGTAAGATGTAAGATTTTCTCTTCTTGAAAAATGTATTTATTTATTTATTTATTTATTTACTTATTTTCTTTAAACTTGGCCAGAGAGGGGTGGGAGAAAGAGAGAGACAGACAGACAGTGAGAAAGCAAATCACTATATCCAGGACTCGAACTGCATTCCGCCATGTGGGAGTCCAGTGACCTTAACCACCATTCCACCTGCCTGCCCCAAGATGTAAGATTTTCTGTATGCAGAAATTCTCTGCACTTTATTAAAACCAGTTCTGATATATAAGCAGGCAAGTTTGATAGCTCTTGTGGTAATTTCTTTACTTCAGCTTGTGACATTCTATTATATTTAATATAATATGATCAAGAGTCCCCAACCAAGATAAACAATATAAAATATTTATAAAGTGTATGATTGGCTTTATGCTTTCTGTCTCTCTGGCACATTCAGATCTGTGTAGGATATTTGCAGACTTGAGGACATATTGAAAGTTGAACATCACATCCAGTGTTTGGAATACTTAAGATTTGGAGCTAGCAGGTGGGATGGTAATTAAGGTACTAGACTCCCACAGGGCTGACTATCATTCGAGTCCTGGACCTGGTGACTTGCTTTCTCAACCCCTCCCCAGTTTCTCTCTGGTCAAATTAAAATAACAATAATAAATAAAATTAGATTAAATAATTATTTTTTTAAAAATGAAATACGTAACAATTAAAATAGTCAAATCATCATTTTTCAAAAACACTGCACTGTACGTATTAGACCAGTTAACATTTCAGAATTCTTTTGGAATTTTCTTGTCTTGTAAATTTAAATTGACTGACTTGTTTTTGAGTCAACGAATGCTCGCGTTTAACTAGTTCTTGGCGTTATGTTTAAGTATTTTAGAATCCTTGGCTAGACCACGAAACTGAGTATACCCACCAGGTTTTATAAAATATCTGGGTATTTTATATACCGTTTCTTTGATGCTTGCCTTCTGAGTTTAATTATTAGCAGTTTTGTAATCTATATATTTAAAAATAACTTTTCTTGATGTAACTTCAGAGAATTGAAAAAAGCAAGAACACTCTCCCTGTTCTTTGGAGTGAACATAGAAAATCAAAACCAAGCTGGAATGTTCATTTATAGTAATAATCGTTTGATCAAAATGCATGAGAAAGTGGGCCCACAGTTGAAACTGAAGTCCTTGTAAGTATGTTTTTGCTTTCAGATGCACAGCCAGGAGGAGGGAGGCTGCTGTAAGATTCGATGTGTGGAGTGAGCAGAGTGATTAATCATAATGGGAGCAGGTGTCATATTCTCTGTTCACCCTTCCTGTCAATGCACAGGCATGAATTTGACTAATTTATAATACTAGTGAAGCTCTGTGCACATTCTAAGGAAAAAACACACTTTGGGAAAATGTTCAGTGCATTTGTTGAACAACTTGATGCTTTACCATTTCTTGTGCCATCCCATCTGGTTAGATTAAGTTTTTAATATTTTACCAATTTAAAACTAACACAAGCATATTAAAGAGATTTCAGAAGAGAAAGAGGAGAAGAAACATTCATAGCTCTATGAAGCACCCTGTTAACATGTTGTGCAGTTTCTAAATGTATGAGTTCTTGCCGGTGTCCTGCATGAGTGTGTATTATTAAAACACTCCCACCTATTTGGATTCTAGAATAATACATTTTGGTGCTTTTCTAATGGTCTGAAACTACCTCAGCTGCTTTCATCAATTATATAGATTCCTGAACAGACACTATAGAAAAGGACAGAGTCAGACAAGATAACCTGAACCAGGAGAATGGGTCAGGGAGCATTTATCATCTTGCTTCCTCAGCCTCAGGGTAAAATATTTCATTCATTCAGGAAGCATTTCTCTTGCAGGGTCACGTGCCAGGCTCTGTAGGAAACTCTGCAGACAGAATGGTCAAGATCTGCCATAGTTTGCTTAGGAGCACGTAGACTACTGAAAGAGACAGCATATAAATGCATGTATTTTTATAGTGTGTGAAAACAGCAAGAATGATCTTTTTTTTTTTTTTTTAAGAGGTTTTTGCTATAGGGCACGTGCGCTTGCCAGACAGAGACAGAGAGACAGAAAGTAAGAAATCACCCCCCCAGGGAGGATGGCCACACCGCAATCCCTTCTCCTCCGTTCTCTTCTTGGGATCTTGGGCACTCACACACACACTCCCGGCGTGAGTTTTAAGCCACCGGGTCCGCCACAGTCAACTGCATGGGAGTCCAGCGACATAGCCATTACGCTAACTGCTGATCCCAAAAATGATTTTTTGATACTTAAATGAGTCGACTCTCTTGCTTCAAATCCCAGTGCACTTAGAATAGAGTGGCTTACGGTGGTATTCCAGCATGTCCTCTACCTGGCTCTAAGACTCCATCTCCCTATCCATATCTCTCCTCCTCTGCATTATCTGTTTCTTAGGCCTCTTAAGCTCATCCCTATCTTTAGCCTTTGCCACTTGTTCATTCCCTGTGCATTTAACCATTTTGTCCTCAGACTCTTTTTTTTTAAATTTTAATTTCTTTTATACACTCGATCACTATACACCACTTAGCTTGTAAAGTGAATTCTCCCAACATGAATACATTTCATCAGATTTTTTTTTTTTTTTCACAATGGCCTTAGTATGTCGTTCAGGCATGAGCTCCACAGAAGGTCTTCCTTGACTGTCTAATTAAAATGGCCTCCACCTCACTTATACTAGCACCTACTTTGTTTTCCACACCACTTACCATCATCTGGAATGGTATTGTATGTTTATCTGTTTGTTGGCATCATGCCTGTCACCCTTCAGTAGAAAAGAAACTTCATAACCAGGGACCTTGTCTTTGTTTATCATCGTATTCTTAGTTCCAGGAAAAAGGTCACATGCTGAGTGGCCTTAGTATGTCGTTCAGGCATGAGCTCCACAGAAGGTCTTCCTTGACTGTCTAATTAAAATGGCCTCCACCTCACTTATACTAGCACCTACTTTGTTTTCCACACCACTTACCATCATCTGGAATGGTATTGTATGTTTATCTGTTTGTTGGCATCATGCCTGTCACCCTTCAGTAGAAAAGAAACTTCATAACCAGGGACCTTGTCTTTGTTTATCATCGTATTCTTAGTTCCAGGAAAAAGGTCACATGCTGAGCTTGAATAAATGAATACTGTGTTACAGGTGAGCTCATCAGGTGCAAAAACAGCACAGGAGTGGCAATAAATCAAACTGGGGAAAATGAAGCCTGGAAGAAGTGAGGCCCAAATTTTGACTAAGAGAATGAATAGTGATGGGGGGGGTGTGGATGGAAGAGGAAAGTGGTAAAACATGACAGGCATGGTCCCCAAACTGGGAAGACTTAATTAGTATATCATGCCAAAAACAGGGAGGAACCCTTGAAGGATTAGACAACTGGATAGTCTTGGCCAAAGCAAGCTATGTCACCAAGCAGAATATCTCAGCCATATACATCTTTACTGTCATTAAGACGGTAAAATAAATAAATAATTTTATCAATTAGACTATCCTGGGGACAAACCCTCTGAGATAATCCAACACTTAATTTCTTAGTAGGATTCACTGAGCACCTTAGAGAACACAGCCATGATGAGAAGAATCTAGCCTAACAAATGAAATGAGACGAAGAAAGTGGCCAGTATCATTAAGAGGATCATGTCAGTTTATTGCAGTAAGGCACTATTACTTGGTGTTTAATGCTAAAAGGCCTTCCTTCCTACCATCCTGTCTCTTCCCCCACCCCATCTACCCTGACTATAGTTGGAGGTTAGTTTTGAAAGAGTCATTAATTCAGTAACAAACTGATCCAAGATCACCACAGATTTATGCTAATGAATTACAATTAAGATAATGACATGAATGATCCAGACCAAGTGAATGAATTTATTTTTTAAATTATTTTAAATGTCTAGGATATATTATCTTTTCTTTTAACTTTAGCCAGGTTTTACAAAATTTATATATGCATTTTTTTCCCTTAGACTTGGTGCAGGTGTGGTGGGAATTGTTAATATACCCTTGGAGATCATGGAACCATCCCATAATAAACAGGAATTTCTCAATGTCCAGGAGTATAATCATCTCCTAAAAGTCATGGGACGGTATTTGGTCCAGTATTGTAAAGACACCGGGATCAGTGAGTATTTAATAGTCATAGTAAAAGATACTTAAGAGGGATCAATTTGTGTGATTTTTTTAAAAAAAGAATTATTTATTTAATTATATTTACTATTATTATTATTTTAAAATTTGCTACAGGGTACGTGCACTCACCAAACAGAGTGAGATAGAGACATAGATAGAGAGAGGGAAAGCCAGAAAACAAGGCTTCAGGTCCAAAACTTGAACCATAGTCAGCCATGTGGCAGTCCAGTTCCTTAACCACCATTCCTCATGTGATTTTTTTTAAAGGTGAAATCACTACATTGATTCATATAATCAGTAACCCAAAACTCTGAAAGAGAGCTTCTGTTTTAAAAATATAGTACAAGTTGGTGAAGACTTCCATTACTATATTGAAAAGGAGTGGAGAAAGTAGACATCCTTATCTTGTACCAGTTTTTAGTGGGATAGCTTTCAGCTTTTCTTCATTCAGGATGATGGAAGCTATGGGTTTTTCATAGATAGCTTTTATTGTATTGAGAAATGACTCTTCTATGCTGATTTTGCTGAGAGTCTTGATCACGAAGGGATGTTGTATCTTATTGAATCCTTTTTCTGCATCAATTGATATGATCATATGTTTTTCTCTTTCTTTCTGTTAATATGGTGTATTACATTTATGGTTTTACATATGTTGAACCAACCTTGCATCCCTGGAATAAAGCCTACCTGGTCGTGATGTATAATCTTTTTTATTTGTTATTTGATGCGATTTGCTAGTATCTTGTTGAGAATCTTTGCGTCTATATTCATCAGAGATATTGGTCTATAGTTTTGCTTCCTTGTCCTGTCCTTATCTCTTTTAAGGATAAAGGTGATGGAGGCTTCATAGAATGAATTAGGGAGAGTTCCACCCTTTTGGATCTTTAGAAATAACTTGAGCAGAATGGGGGTTAACTCTTCCTTGAAAGTTTTGTAGAATTCAGAGGTGAAGCCATCAGGGGCAGGGCTTTTCTTTGTTGGGAGGTTATTTATTACTGATTCAATCTCCTGGCTTGTTATGGGCCTATTCAGACTTTCTACATCCTCCTGGCTCAATATTGGTAGATTTTATGTGTCCAAGAATTTGTCCATCCAGATTTTCTTGTTTGTTGGCATGTAGTTGTTTATAGTATCCTCTATTTATGTTTTGTATTTCTACTATGTCTGTTGTTATATTGCCAGTATCATTACAAATTTGATTTACCAGGTTCCTTTCTCTCTTCTTAATAAGTCTCACTAGTGGTGTATTAAGTTTTCTTATCTTTTCAAAGAACCAGCTTTTACTTTAATTTATCAATAAAAGAAATAGAAAAAGAAGAGGTGAAACTATCATTTGCAGATGACATGATGGTATACATAGAAGACCCAATGGTATCTATGAAAAAATTCCTGGAAGTAATATATAAATACAGTTGCAGGATACAAAATCAACATACAGAAATCTATAGTCTCTCTATATACAAACAGCAGGTAGACTGAGATAGAACTGAAAAAAAGTAATTCCATTTACCATAGCCACAAAAAGTATAAGCTACCTAGGAATAAATCTAATCAAAGAAGTTAAATGCCTCCACAAGAAAAAATATGAGAAGCTAAAAAAAGAAATTGAAAATGACATAAAAAAGTGGAAGGACATCCCATGTTCCTGGATTGGAAGAAATAGTATAATCAAAATGGCAATTCTACCCAAATTAATCTACATATTTAACACAATCCCAATCATAGTGCTGAAGACATTCTTCACAGATCTAGAAAAGACAATCATACAGTTTGTCTGAAATCATAAAAAAGACCTCGTATTGCCAAAGCAATCCTGCACAAGAAGAGTGGAGTGGGTAGCATCTCATCATTACCCCAAAAATATACTACAAAACTGTGGTAATCAAGACAGCATGGTATAGGCACAGAAATAGACAGGTGAACCAATAAACAGAGTAAATTCCCAGAAATAAACTCCCAGACATACAGCCAACTGATTTTTGACAAAGGGTACCAGTCAATCCAGTGAGGAAAGGAAAACCTCTTTAGCAAATGGTGCTGGAAAAACTGGATATCCACCTGCAGAAAGATTAATCTGAACTCCTGTCTCTCACCATTGACAAAAAACAACTCAAAGTGGATCTAAGCTCTAAACCTAAGACCTCAAACCATAAAACTGCTGCTGGAAAACACTTGGGAAACTCTGGGAGACATTGGGGTAGGGCAAGACTTCTTAAATAAGACTCCCAAAGTCAGTAATCCCCAAAATAGACAAGTGGGATTACATCAGACTAAGAAGTTTCTGCATGGCAAAAGACACAGTGCTTAGTGTGAATAGACAGCCCTCAGAATGGGAAAATATTTTTGTAAACTATGCGTCAGATAAGGGGCTGATAACCAGAATACACAAGGAACTCAAGCAACTGTCCTGAAAAAAATGATTAACCCTATTAAAAGATGGGAGAATGAGTGGAAATCACGCTAAGGAAGACATACGAATAGCCAAGGGGCATCTGAAAAAATGCTCAACATCCCTCCTTGTGAGGGAAATGCAGATCAAAACCACGATGAGATACTACCTAACCCCAGTTAGAATGACTGAGATAAAAAAAAACAAAAAAACAAAAAAAAAACCATAATAAGTGCTGGCAGTGGTGTGGTGAAAGGGGAACTCTCCTACACTGCTGGGGGCAATGTAAATTGGTCCAGTCACTGTGGAGAACAATTTGGAGATTCCTCAAAGACCTACAAATAGAACTACCATATGATCCAGCAATCCCACTTCTTAGTATTTACCCAAAGGATGGAAGAATTCTTAATCGGAAAAATACTTGCACATCGATGTTTATTGCAGCATTATTCATGATTGCTAAGATATGGAAACAACCCAAATGCCCACAAACAGATGAATGGATTGAAAAACTGTGGCACATATACTCTATGGAATACTACTCAACCATAAAAAACAAGACCTTGGCCTTTGACAGAAACTGGATGAATATGGAATATTTACTGCTGAGTAAAGCAAGCCAGGCTATGAAGGAGAGACATTGTATGTCTCCACTTAATATATACAAAGTGTCCACCCTCTATGGCCAAAACTGAATGACTAAATGTTATAGAAACTTGGTAAATATTTGTGAGTACCAGATACAGTGTGGGAAGTGGGCAGGTGAAACAGTAGAGTCTGAGGGACATTAAGGAGGAAAATAGAGAGGCAAGGCATTTATGGGATAAAGAAATGAATTATTATCTATCAAAGATAACTTTATAGTATTGTCAACTGAACTGGTAAGAAATGTACACATGTTGGAATATTCACTTTGTAAGCTAAGTAACATAAAATTGAATGTATAAAAGAAATTGAAATAAAAAGTAAAAAAAAATTTAAATGTTAAAAAGACGAGAAGACAGTTTCAGATCTTCCACAGAATATTGTGTGAAAAGTAACAGATTAGAATTTTTAAGAAGGCAGTCAGAGAGCCGTGTGAGGTGGCAGCTGGTTGTGGAGGAAAGAGACAAAAGTTTACTTCAAAGAGGCTGAGAAACCCTCAGAGACCCCTCTGAAGCTCCACTGTGCAGAGCACATTTACCCCTAAATAAGCCTTTGTAGCTGTGTTATTCCATGCCATAAAAGAATAATCACTAACTTTAGGTAATTGTAGCTATATTAAACTTTGTTTTGTGTATCTAACATTTCTTAAGTATGTTAATTTCAGAAAGATTCCAGTTCAAAATCACTAAAATAGATAATGTTTGGAAACTTTAAGAGAGGAACATCAGTTATCCGGAAAGTTGATTTACTCAGGCCATTATACTCCCTTGAGACACACTTGAACAATGAGAAAGTGTGCTATACTTTAATTAAATGAACTTGTTTTAAGTTGCTGAGACCTAAGACTTCATTTATGGAAAGAATAGACAGGCTATTGTGTATTTGTTCAATTATTTGTATGGTATGTATAATTCATCCATATCAAAAAATATGTCTCTATTCTTGAGACAATGTAAAATCATATTATTAGCTCCACTTGAAGTTGTGATTTTAGGATATTTTCTTTCTTTTTTCCCTACCCTACTTGAACCTAAAGTGTTTCCATCAGTGAAACAGAGGGAAGAGTGAAAAAACTCAGGGGAAAAGAGTAAAAGGGGAATATATTTGAGGAGACGGTTTCTATCAAAGCTGGATTTCCATGTCATGCTCTAAACCTACTCAGAATGTGGTATGAGGACCAGCATTGGTATTACCAGGAGCGAATTAGAAATGTAGACAGTCCTGCTTGAGACCTTCTGCATTAAAAGCTGCATTTCCACAAGATCTCCAGGTGATTTGTATGCACATTCAAACTTGAGAGGAACTGCTTTGAAGAATACACCCATCTAATTTTTCTTAGGGTAGGCATACTTTTTTCACTTTCATTTATTTTTTTACTGAGACATCTTTAAAGTTATACTAAATATCGTAATGACTACATTATTGACAGAGTTTGTAGAAAGCTGTAGGAAACATAAGAAAGTATAATATGAATATGGACCAAGCCATGGTAATACAGATGGTAGCATACTGGACTCCAGTGTTGGAAGCCACATAGCTGACCATGGATTTGGATTCCCAGTTGATCTGAAACATGCTGGGTGCACATGGCCAAGATCCCAACTAGTTGGAGGGCTTGGGGAAGGGGATCCCAGCATGAGAAGACTCTATAGGGAGTGCCTTTGTCACTCCCACTCCCTCTGTCTCACGCTCCTCTTGAGTGTTGTCTATCTAATGAAAGAAATAAAATAAACTTTAAAAAATTACAAACATAAATATAAACATAATAAGGTAGAAATCAAACATCTACTTTCTGGTCTTTAAATGTTAGCATGATGTAGCACAAAAAGAAAATATTACCTTCTTTGTAATACTTTGTCTTTCTCTTCCTTAAAATGAGAAATTAAGTCCTCAGAAAAAGAGAGGCATTTAAGTTTACGGGTCATTAAAAGGCTCTCCTCCCAGCTCTCACTTAGGAC